GACTGAAAACGTCAGCTCTGCTCATATCATTGTGGTAAAATTCTACTACAATCCTTCATCACTTTAAACCAAATAGGGTGGATACATCTCATATAAATTATGATTTCCGGATGTGACAATGTCTATCAAGATTGAACAAACAAAGTATTAGAGCGAATTCATTGCCTAGCAGTGAGCCAAGCACTGCTTGCACAATCCAACGTTCTCCATTCCAAGGCAATCTCTTTCGGTTTCGGGAGAATCCATTCTAAGTGACTTTCCCTTCGAACTGACAAGTCTAGTCATATTAGAGCGTTAAGAGACTATTATTCATAGATAAAAAGCAAGTTAGATTTACAGGTTTTATACAAATCTTAGTGGAAGTGCTTGTTTCCATATTCCTTAAAGGAATATTTCACAAATAACAATAATCCTTGAACAGTAACTGACTCACCCTTGATTGCATAGAGGGGTTTAAGGACTGATGGTTGAGTTTCCCTAAAAACGATATAAGAAAGTCTCATAATTTCATTTAAATTCACTTAGCCCCACCTACTAAAAGTTTCCTCATACAGACTAGACTGCATCGTCAATCTCGCCTAGGTCCCTTTACTGGCTCATACGGCTGTCTAGCAAAATGGTAAAATGTAGCTTCAATGCTCCTGAACCACTTTTGAATTCGGTTAGATATGCTGATGAGACCGAGGTGAGGTCAGAGGTGCTGTTCAGCATGTTTGATAAAACTTTTTAAGAGGCAAAACTAAGTGAATTCCAATGAAATTATAAGGACAGACGCCTTAAGCCGACTTATGTTGCTTAGGGTGATTACATTTGTATTCAAAAGTTTATCCAAAGTGATTAAGATTTTATTAGTAGTAGGGAACTCTCACTTCAATGGCATTTTGTACTTCTTCCGCCGATACTGTCAACTGGCGATGCCAGAGCACATGAAGGAGTAGATTAGCTCGCCGTTGAGTAAACGCGACTGAGATAGCCTGCTTGAGAGCCAATAGTCCAAGATGATCGACTTTCGAGGCCTCCGAAGTCGCGGCTTCCTGGGCGGGTTTTGGACCTAAGTCTTCTTTCAAAGCAGCCTCATCAGACTCAAGGCGTATCGACTGATGCTGACCTGTTGGAGGTCGGGGCAAACTAAATCTCCGAGGCTGGGAGATATCAGACGTTGGGGAGCCCCTAATTCCGAGGTTCATCATCGTCGGCTGACCGCAAATAAGAGTGTAGAAGCCGAGAGGATCATAGACGTCGTCAAGCCGAGTTAGACCTATATCAACCGAGTTGGAGGCAAACGATGTTTATAAATAGGCCAGATAATAAGATAATACTAAGAGCCTTAGGAAAAATAGTCAGGATGCTAAATAAGAAGGATACAAATAAGAAAACAAAATGTTTTGAGTAGGTTTTCGAGACTACCAGTAAATCAAATCCATGAATTATGTTCACTCTATTTCGTTTAAGGTGATGAAGGACTAGTAGTTGAATTTTCCCACGATTATATGAGCTGACGTTTCAATTGAAGTTCGCATATCCTTGCTTTCCCAAAAGCTGTTCTCATCTTCAATCTATCCTGAATGAGAATGCCTTTTGGGGAAACAAGGATATGTGAAGATCGTCGGAAACGTCAGCTCTATTAATATCATAGTGGGAAAATTCAATTACCACATATACTAAACGAAAAAGAGTGATCATAACTCCAAGAAAATAAAAGAAATACCCATCTGGATAGGGAAACAAATTAAAAAATAAGTAAACTATGTACATTTATCATGTGGGAAATAAGATTGCAGAATGTCGATACAGTTTCAAGAAATGGGTGCCAACATGGTAGTCCTGACTTCTTAGCTTCTGAGAGCATGAAGAGGAAGTGTGTTTAGTAAAATTCGACTGCGAAGATTACATAATATCCTTGAGAGTTGAGGACTGGTGCTATTAAGCCCTGATTAGCGGTTGTTCGACTAGGAAATGAAGATAAGACTTGCTGTTACCGTAGAATTTCAATGTTTCATGGTTCAGAAGACTGGATTCATAATCAGAATGGGCTGCAGCTTCGGCCTAGCCTGTGTATACTAACCACCAACCCCAAACGGAGTCAAATCAAGGAAGTTAGACTACACGTGAGATATATTTCCTATCTCACAGCCCTTCTAAATGATCATCAAGTCGAAAGAGAAAACGAGTTACATTTTTTGTGGGGAATATAGCCAAATTGAATGAAGACATCGTTAAAAGGCTCCCGAACTCAGCAAAGAGGAGGAAAAAAATGAAGACGAAGGTTTTCATCTTCATGGAAAACCAACTTTGGTTGTTGCATAAAACAATGTGACTTGATTTGCAATTTAAAAATAAATATTGGTTAGAAAAGATACATAAATTAACCTCAAAGTAAAACAGTGGAGAGAATACTGTTGCGCGGTGCCAAGTAGTTCTTGGCCCACGCTGTGTATTCATCTATCCCGTCGTGACAGGCATCGTCAGAGCAAGATACCAACATCTACGAAAAAAAGCACGAAGAAAAGGTGACCAGCTGCATTTATACTTATTGCTTATATCTGAATTTACGATCCTAGTCAGGCATCTCATTATTTGGTTGGCTAATTCACGCGCATCTTACCGTCTTGAAAGAAAGTGGATGTGGTCATAGTTGATCTCTTCCTTAAATAAACCATTTTTAGGGGGACCTTCAATTCGGATGAAA